CGAAGGACGACAAGAAATATTGATCTGATTATTGCAATAAGGAAATTAAACCAGTGTTTACTCCAGCACCATCTTATTTCCACTGACAACTTTTTGGACACAAAACATCCGCCCAGTGTGCACAGACTGGTATTGCATACCAGAGCCTGTCTGCTCCACTGTAATTAAAACAAAAAGATAAATATACCTTTTTTTCTGACTCTTTGCATTATTTTGAAATCTGGAATCCACTCATGTTCAAATAAACAAGTTCACTCCCATGTAGAAGAAAGTAAATGAGTGTGCTTTGTGGAGGTAAAGACTCACATTTTCCTGAATTAAATGAGTGGAACAAAGTAGATCAGAGAGGCTTTGGTGTCGACTAAGGGATTATTAACCTGCTGGCTCACACTCACAAATGCATATACACACACAGTGGGGCCTGTTAGGCTGGAAAAACAGATGAGGGTTCAAATATTGAAGTACATGCTCACACAGAGTACATACAGCAGTCTTGTATGTGGGTATGTCTTGCATTGTGTCCAGTAATAAAATTCCTGTAGTTTTCTTGACTTTTTATCCTTTTTTTTTTTTAATGTTGGATTGAACAAATTTCATTAATTAATCCTGTTTTGTGCTGTGAAACTGCCAATTTACTCAATCAGTGCTGAGTGTTCTGTTTATCCAGTCAAGGCAGTGTTTTTGACAAATGCTCATTAAAGCAGCATTTAAAAGCAGCATTTCATTTGATGCTGTGAGGATTTTCCAGAGATAATGAGCCAGTGATGCAGAATACAAAATTTAACAGACCAGAGAAAAGAATATGTCTGTGAAGGTTCAGTCATCCAGGTCATTATAGTCTAAGGAAAGAAAGCATCTGGACATCTTTAAGGTGTCTGAAGATGTTTCACCTCTCATCCGAGAAGCTTCTTCAGTTCTAGGGTCAAATGGTGGAGGACCAGAGGTAAGACCAGACCTCTATATTGGAGAGACCAAACAGCCTCTTCATAAACGCATGGCACAACGTAGAAGAGCCACCTCCACAGGACAAGACTTGGCTGTCTGTTTGAATCTAAAGGACAAAGGACACTCTTTCGAGGATGCCAATGTTCACATTCTTAACAGAGAGGACAGATGGTTTGGAAGAGGAGTGAAAGAAGACATCCATGTCCACTGTGAGCGACCATCTTTGAACAGAGGCGGTGGTTTACGACACCAACTGTCTGCCATCTATAATCCAGTTTTGGGTTCCCTCCCCAGACGCCTTAACGCCCACTCACAT